ATGAGCCTCATGACCACGGGGGACCTGGACAAGGTGGAACAGCCACTCTGCTGGGGGTCGGTGGCAGGAAGATTCCGGGATAATGGAAAACTACATAATGTATTATGTTCTTCTCCCTTAAATCCCCTGAATTTAAGGGAAAACAATCTTCAAAAGAATCGCAGAGCACACGGAGAGGCAGCTCCAGGGGAGGCTTATCTGAGATCAGATTCTCGAATGCTGGGTCCTGCTGGGAGAAAGCGGAAACAAGAGCTGTGGGCCTGACGACTAGTCACACATCGCTGCCACGGAAAAACCGGGTGGAGGGCCTGGTGCCATAGCCTAGCGGCTGAAGTCCTTGCCTTGAACACATCGGGATCCCATATGGGAACCGGTTCTAATCCCAGCGGCCCCACTTCCCATGCAGCTCCCTGCTTGTGTCCTGGAAAAGCAGCTGAGGATGGCCCAAGTCCTTGGGACTCTGCACCCATGTGGGAGACCCAGAAGAGGCTCCTGGCTCCTGGCTTTGGATTGGCTCAGCTCTGGCTGTTGTGGCCATTTGGGGAGTGAATCATTGGACGAAAGATCTTCCTCTCTGTCTCTCCTCTCTGTATATCTGACTTTGCAATAAAAATAAATAAATCTTAAAAAAGAAAAAGAAAAGGTAGGTGGAAAAGAAGCCCAAGAACTGAGCCACGCCCTTGGCCGAGACCCAGCAGCGTCCTGATTTACAACCGTCCTTAGGGGCGCCGTGCTGACACAGGCAAGGAAGGGGGCTTGGGGACACAGGCGAATGCCTGAAGAGAACGGCCCGTCCTCAGTGGGCTCTGCCAGGAAGCATGTGGCCGCCATCACTCTGCGGGACCTTTCATTGCAGGCGTTGACAGTGAGGAGATGGCCCAGATGGAGGAGCAGGAAGAAACTGGGCCTGCTGCTAAAACCAGGCAGCGCTGGGGTGAGCCCGGCAGAGCCTCCGCTGTGAGTCCGGCAGAGCCTCCGCTGTGAGCCCGGCAGAGCCTCCGCTGTGAGCTAGGCATCCCATATCAGTGCTGGTAGAAGCCTCGGCCGCTGCTCCGCTTCTGACCCAGCTCCCTACGGATGTGCCTGGAAAGGCAGCAGCAGGTGGCCCGAGCGGCTGAGCACCTGTCCCCACCCCCCCAGCCCTGCGTGGAAGAGACCTAGATGAGGTGGTGGCTCCTGGCTCCAGCCTGGCCCAGCCCCTACTGTTCTGGGCTTTTGGAGAGTGGACCAAAGGGTGCAAAATTCTCTCTCTGTGTGTATGTGTGTCTATCTCTCTCCTGCTGTCTTTCCAAAAAAAAAAAAAAAAAATCTTTAAAAGAAGATACAAATAAAAGGCAGAACTGCCTGATGGTTATAACTCTGAACCTGGCTCAAGCAGATGGCCGATTGTGACCTGCCACCTCAGAGCTGGGTGTTGACTGGCCGCCCACATGGACACCTCCCAGCCTTCGTTTTTCTGTCTAGAGGAACTGTGGTGTTTGCATGACATGCTGAGTTGTCGGAAGAGCAGAGCAGCGATGAAAGCCCCTTCCGGCAGCTCACCAGACTCACGGGGATCATATGTTTGCGCTTGCGCTGCTAGCCTGGGGCCCAGGAGGACTGGCTGTGTGCCTCCAGGGCTTTGCCAGCTGGAAGTGACAGGATCCTAAGGTTCGGAAGAGAGAAATCTAGAGCCCCTGTAAATAGTTCAGGGGGAGTGTGGGTTTTAGACCCGCAGCGTCTGGGCCTGGGACAGCACACATCAGGGCTTGCCTCTCTGCATCCCTCGTTGCCCTTCCCTCCAGGTTGGATCCTTCCTAGCAAGAGCCTGGCCTCACAGGGGCAACGTGGCTGCCAGCAGCGTTAAGCATATTTCCTCTCTTGTCTTCTACCCCATTGAGTAGAGAACTCCCGTTTCAAGTGTTGCAAGAATTCTGGGACCAGCGCCTACTCACCCACCCATCATCAGGGCTGGGTCAGAGAAATACATTGGCCAGATCTTCATCCTAGTCCCGGTTCTGGGAGAACCTGAGGCCCCCGCCGAGGAACCTGGACATACGATGTGTCAGTCGCCAAGGACTGAAGTGCCACGACCACAAGGCAGGGAGTGCGTGCTCCGTGGGCTGCTGCCGTGGCCTTCATGCCTGTGGCCAGCGTTGAATCAACACAGCCCTAAGCAGACAGCAAACCAGTCCCACAGGAGCAGGGGGAGCCGTCTTCTTCCCAGCCCGCTCCTTCAAGGTGGAAGAAGCCAGCGAGCTGGGAGCAGTCGCTGTGGTTCCTCCCGCGGAGCCTGTGGTGTGGGCAGAGTGACCCTCTTGGCGCTAACACCAGAGAAGTCCAGGAAATGGGCCATTGACTGGCACTTTTGAAGTTCCTTGTTCCTCCAATTTGCCAAAATGCATTACATGTGTTTTATTAATTTCTACGGACTGAATGTGACTTTGCCGAGCAGCCAGACTTCCTCCGAGGGTCAGCTCTGCGGTGGTGCCTGCTGTCTTCTGCCCTAGGGACCTTGCGACAGAGACCCCCCACCTTCCTCCTCGCCCCCCTCTTTCTGCCCGCCTCTCCGCTGGTTTTGTTTAATGCTGTCTGCTCACCACCTCAGAGCTGCCCAGACAGCAGACCTGGCAAATCACCTTTGCCTCTGCCGAGGCTCGGGTCACATTTGCAATGAATGACTCCATATTTTTATTCCAGTTATTTTTTCTTCTTTACTTAGGAAATAAATTTGGAAAAGGATTTTTGTATCACTCCCCACATGTGGGAAGCCAGTGTCGCTCGCCTCACAGAAAAGGTAAGCACAGAATCAGGTGCCGTGAAAGCCAACGACGCAATCCCGGCTGAGTGCCTCCACCTGCCTGCGCTGAGCTGGAGGCCTGGCCTCTCTCCTGTGCAGAAAGGGAGTTGGCTAGAGCTGTGACGGACGCGCCCTGCCGAGCCCTTCTTCGGGACACACTCAGACGGACAGAGCCGGAAAGAGAAGCACTCGCTCACTGGCCATCAGGACTGCTGTCCCTGTGGGCTCCGCCTCAAGGTCTGGCGTCCGAGGTGCCAAAGTCCCATCAGAATGCTGCCTCCGCTGACCGGCCAGGCGGCCCTGCTCCCTGTTCCATACAGTGACTTCTGACCCTAATGTCTCCTATCCTTGCCTCTCTGTCCTTGAACCTCCCGAGGAAAGCAATCTCCTCTTCTCTGAGGATAGCCTCAAGGTTCACGCCGGCCACGGTGGCTGCAGGCACTGGTCAGTGCGACCGAAGGCCGCAGTCCTGGGCCTGGACACGTCTTTTCTCCTCTTAGCTTGTCAGTAGATTGTCCAGTGCTCCAGCCCAAGCCGCATCTTTTCATTCTAGGGAGAGAGAGCAGTGCATGTGGCATGGCCGTTGGTCTTTTTTGTATTTGCCTGTGAAAATCCATGCCCTGTGGGCGCCGGTAGCAGGTGGCCATGAGGTAGAGCCCCCGTGTGTGGAGTTAGTGCCTTTACCAGGGAGGTCCCAAGAACAGCCCCAGCCCCCGCCAGCAGCTGAAGACACAGGTGCCACAGTGAACCGGAAGCGATGTCCCTGATCGGTAGCAAATCACCCAAAACGTGGGATGGGAGTCGGGGGGTGGGACAGAACAGTCACTCACGGTGACCGTGGGCGAGGTCACTCACGGTGACCATGGGCGAGGTCAGTGGGAAGCTCAGAAGGGTCATGGAGGGACAGGTAGCCTCCGTCTGAGCTCTTGGAGGTGTCGCTGCACTCGCACGCATGCCGACAGCGCCGCAGGCTGTGAGGCCTCCCCGCAGGTGCCATTGGGTTCCTCACAGTATGGTGGCTGTGGCCTGAGCGAGGGAGCCGGGTGGTAGTGTCAGCACCACCTCCACTCCTCCCTGATGTTGCTCACCCACTTGTGATGTGTTCTGGTTGCTGGCAGCTGGCCACGAAGGCAACACCTGGCATCGTGAGGGTCCCTCCCCTCAGCAGCCCCTGTGTGTGAGGACCCCACGCCTGAGCTTGAGGGATGCCCCCAGAACAAGCCAGCCCTCTGTTCCTGAAGGGGGGGCATGGACAAGGATCTGTAGATGCATCTGAAACCTACTGGAGTGGTCTAACAACTGGGGTTCCCATGGGCTCCACTGGGGTCCTTGAGGCGAAGAAGGAAAGGGCTCCTGTCCTGGTGGCCCCAGGAGGCTCTGGGGTGACAAGGCGATGTCAGGCAGGGGCTGGTTCCTCAGTGGGTGGGTAGTGGACCCCTGGCACAGGTACCCCGCTTCCATGGACGCCCATTCAGCTGAGCAGGGCTGGGATAGCAGAGCCCCAGGGACCACTAACCCAGGCTTCTGGCCCGGGGCTCCCAGATGGGCCCTGGAGGCGGCAGCCCTGGGCGCCCGTGGTGAGTCACGGGTGTAAAGTTCTCGGGCTGTGGCAGGGTGAGGTGCCTTCAGGTGACCCGGGAGACCTGTTGCTTTCCGTCGGACCCCAGATCGCAGACAGCAGCCCTCAGGCAGCCCTGGATCAGCTCTTCCTGCTCTGGGGCGGGGTGTGAGGGGCTGAGAACAAGCCGAGGTGCCAGTGCGTGCGCGAGTGTCCTCGCGGCGGCCGCCCCACTCCCCACCCACCCCTCCCGCGGTCGCGTCGCCCCCGCCCCCCGCCGTCCTGGGTGCCTCTCGGCCAATTCCCCCCTGCGCCCGGTAGGCGACCCCCGGTGCGCTCAGGGTTCAAAGGCCCTGGCGCGGCAGCTCCAGCCCCTCCGGGGGGCGGGGAGGCGAGGGGGTGGTGCAGAGAGAGAAAAGCCCACAGCCGGCCAGTCCTGCGCAGGGATGGGCAGTGCGCTCTGAAAGTTTGTGACCGCCGCACCCAACTGCTGCCCGCAGCCCGGGACACAGCAAACCGGCGAGCCAGCCCGAGAGCAAGCGAACCGGCGGCCTCGAGCGCCCACCGCGAGCTGCGAGGCCGGCCGCGCCCGGCCCTAGTGCCCTTTCGCGGCCAGCAGCGGCCGTCCTCAGGACCCGGTGCTCCTGCGCCTGATCGGGGTTCATGGAGCTGGGGCTGTGGCTCCTGCTGGGGCTCACAGTGACCTCCGCCGCCGCAGGTAAGCGGCTGGGCGGGCGGGGGCGCGCCCCTGCAGGCGCTAGCGCACACAAAAGGCACGGGGCGCCCCTGTGCGCAGCGCGGGGAGCGAATTCTCCCTGGGTCCCCGCTCCCCGCGAGGCGTCTGGGGGCGGGCTGGGTGGGGGTAGGGAGGGCAGAAGCTGAGCGCAAGGACTGCCCCACGGGCTCTGGGGGCTGATTTGGGGACGTTTTTGCAAGTTTGCAGACTGCAGAGACTGTGCAAAGTGCTAGCGAAGTTTTCCAAACTTGTGCAAAGTGCGTGCAAGTTTTCAACGAGTTCAAATGGCTTGCAGATTTTGCAGAGGGCGCGTGAACATAGCTCACAAGCCTTTCACACAGCATGCACAGAACTTGCAGACTTCGGAACCGCCACAGAGCTCTGCACGTTTCCTAGCTACTGGAATAGCTCAGAGGCTCAGGAGGAGAAGACCTCGCAGGGCTTACATGACTCACCCTCGTCCCAGGGTGGAAGGGTGGGTGTGGAGGGGTCTGTACCCTCAGCTAAGGAGCACCCCCTCTCTCACACACATACACACACACGCACACGCAGACACATGCATCCTTTTGCTCCTGCAGGATTTGTGCCCTGTCCTCAGCCTGGGGGTGCTGGCAGAACCGGCGTGCCGCGGTCCCCCTCTGTCGCCAGATCTGAGGGGGACTGTGAAGAGATTGTGACCGGCCCTGGACAGCACGATGTGGCCTTTGTCGTGGAAAGGGGGCCCGAGCCGGGAAGCCCAGGGCAGGGACCTGAAGGAGCTCGGGGGCGGGTGCCTGCGAGGGGCCTGGCCCGCCGCCGCACCCGGCGTTGCACGTGCTTCACCTACAAGGACAAGGAGTGTGTCTACTACTGTCACCTGGACATCATCTGGATCAACACCCCGGAGTGAGTCAGCCCTGGGGATTCAGGGGGTGCAGCCCCAGCAGCATCCCGCCCTGGCGCAGGCTGGGGCACCTGCTGGGGTCTCCTGGCAGTCAGGGTTCTGCCTGCAGGCAGACGTGTAACCCAAGGCCCTGACCCAGGGAAACTCAATCCCGGCTGTGCTGTGGGGGGAGGGAGGCCTTCCCCTGAGTGCGGCGAGCTGACTGGGGGTGGGAGCTCAGACACCTGAGAAAGCTTGCCAAGCCCCTCCTTTCTGAGCTGGGGGAAGCCCAGAAAGTTAAGCTCCCACCCCAGGGGCTAGGTGGGCCTGTGCACATTGCTGACCTGGGCTGCTGGCTGGGCAGCAAAGCCTTTAGAATTCCTTGCAAGCAGCGCTGCCTCCAGGAGTTTCAGGGTGGGCCTGGCACGGCCTGGCAGGAGCTGCCCAATCCTGTCACCCTGAAATTCCACAGGTGGGTGCCGCAGCCTGTCCGTGGGCCTCTCTCTCCCCCAGAACCTAAAGAGGCGCGCTCTCGCAGGGCCCGTGGCACCGTGGGAGGGTCTGGCACTCCACACACTCAGCCTGCTTCTCTGGACACTCTGTCTCGCCCAGGACGGCGGCTTGACTTGGCCACAAGTCTCCTGCACCTGGCTGGCTGCATCGCTCGGGTCAGGCTGCTGCATCCCAGAGTGCTCCTGGGGCTTTCTGGGGCTTGGCACGCTTCCTCAGAACGGGCTGGGCACTCAGTCCCTGGGCCTGAAGTCCCGGCTTGGAGCCGTCATCATGCACATCCTTCGCGGGCACCTTCATCTTCAGCCCCCCGAGGGGCAGCTTGGAGAGTACTCAGCCACCTTGTTTCACAGACTGGGCGCAAGGGAGGGGCCACCTGAGGGTCCCCATGTCAAGTGGCCAGACCCCTACCCGCATCTGGGATGGTGGTCTGGAAAGTTCAGTCAGGCCACAGCGGCAGGCAGAGCCGGCTGCACAGCAGGACCTGGACTTGCTGGGCCCTCCCCTGTGTGGTGTCCTGGCTTGCACAGATGTGGAGCTTTCAGAACCAATGGTGCAAGGGAGGAGGGTGCAAGGCATCCTTGCGCTTTTTGCCCTTTTCGGGGACCGCTGGGGAGATACTGAATGTTCTCTCGTCCCAGACAGGATCAGTCACGTTCTCCACAATGGTCACACGCCTGTCCCCTCTGATTCTCATCTTTCTGGCACTGGGCTGGCCCAGTTAGCTCCACAGGGTCAAGGGCACTGAGTAGCTAAGGGTAGGGCTGGGGTCTTGCTGACTATAACCCCAAGCTATGAATCTGCAAGGAGAAAGAGAGCCCACTGGATGAGGGACAAGGGGCTGGGGCAGGCTTGCTGGGGTGGAAGGCGGGGTCTGGAGACCACCGCAGCTTGTCACTGCCCACCCAGCCCATGCACTGGCTTAGGAGGGCCATGCATGGGAGGCACAGCAGCGTGCTGGAGCTGAGCTGTCCTGTGTTGCCCAGAACGCAGTGGGGTGACCTTTTCCGGACGGCAGATCTGCTCATTTTTATCCCACAGCTGGACTTAGCTCCTGCCCTCTTTCTCTGTCCTGATCGACTCTGAACACCAGGAAACAGGATGGTGGCTGGCACTTCATGAGGTTTTGGGAAAATAGAATGCTTTTTAAGTTTCATTTATTTTTATTTGAAAGAAGACTTAGAGAAGGACACACACACACACACACACACACACACACACACACACACACACACACACACACCTTCCATCTGCTGGTTCACTCCCCAAACGGCCAAAGTGACCATAGTTGAACCGGTCCAAAGCTGGAAGCCAGGACCTTCTTCTGTGTCTGCCACACGGGTGCAGGTCCCAGGGCTTTGGGCCGTCCTCGACTGCTTTCCCCGGCCGCAAGCAGGGCGCTGGATGGGAAGTGGCTTCCATACGGGATGCTGGTGCTGTAGGTGGAGGATACCTATATGCCACCGCACTGAGCCCCTCCCAGTGACAATAGCTAGACTTAAGCATCTTGAAATTAGCCAAGCAAAACAATTATTGGAAAGACAGAAAGAATCGGGGGGGGGGCAGGTTCCTTCCCTCCCTTTCTCCCTTCTTTCTTTCCCTCCTCCCGTCTGCCCACACCCACCCCACTCCTGGAGCTCTGTTGAGATTCCAGTAGCTCCATTTGCTAGTTTCTAAATGCCTCAAGCCATATTGCAATTTGAGAACATGAACTCTGGTGTGGTTGAGACAGAAGAACCGAGAAGACCACTGCTGGAGGCTGGGGGGACAGTGGTGGAGCGTGGCCAGGGGCTCTCCATGGTTCTTCTCAGCTCCCCCCATCCTTCCCAGGCCCACCTGCCAGTGCAGCAAACCCGCTTCTCTGACTGGCCTGGTCCTGATCGTGTTTTGAAACCCCTCCAAAAGGCTCTGACTTTGTCCCTGACCCTTTTGGCGGGGTGCTTGGGGAGCTTGGAGGAGCCCTGATCTCTGAACCCTGGACTCGGAGTGGTTATCTGCTTCTGGTGTCTTTTATACCTTCTCTGCTCCCCCGATCCCTTGCATGGACATGGACTCAGCCATCGTACATTGTCTTAGAAGGACAAAGGGTGTGGGCCACCCGGCGAAGGGCGGTTTAGTGAATGTGCTTGTTGATGCTCCATTGGAAGACCTAAGACGTGGCAGCAGGAATGCTGGGATTTCTGGGGCCAATCCTGCATCTCCCCTTGCTCTGAGCTGAATGCTGGGGACATTCTGTCCTTGGGGTGGAAGACCTGAAGTCTCTGTTTCCCTCTCTGTCTCCCCTCTTCTGAGCTCGGTCCAGCAGGTGTGGACACCTGCCCCGTGCTGGTTGACTTGGGCCCGGTCTCGCTGGTTGTCACTGGCTCTGTGGTTGTCTGCTGCTCTTTCCTGCCCCAGCAGGTCTCCTTGTCCACAGCATGTGGACACTGTTCAGAGGCCTGCAGCTCCTTGCAGATGTGGGCTTGGGGGAGGAGCTGGGAGGGGTGCAGCTTCCCGGTGACTTACCTGCAGTTTCTGTTGTGTCCTGAAGAAAAAGCAGTCCCTGCAGGCTGAACTCAGTCCCTACAGACAGCTGGGATCTCAGCCAAGGGATAGGGTACTGGCTCTGGTGGGAAGTCTTCTGGAATCCCAACTCCCCACAACGCCCTACAACTCTGCCACTGCCAATGCCAAGGAAAATAAAAGCTACATCAGCAAAAACCACATTCTAGCTTAATAAAGGGAAGCATGGGGAGCAAGCCAGGTAGGGCAGACTGTATCCTCCAGGGCAAATAGGACACTTGTGTGTGTGAGTGTGTGTGTGAGAGAGAGCTAGCAAGAATGCATGAGTATTTGTGAGTATTAGTGTGAGTGAGAGATGAGTGTGTGCATGAGTGTGTGCTTGAGAGAATGCGCGAGTGTGTGATTGAGAGAGTGTGAGAGCAAGAATGTGTGAGTGTGCGTGTGAAAGTGAGTGTGTGTGTACAAGCAGGCAGACTATAAGGAGCTGGCTGACATGGTCTTAGGAGTTAGCAAGTCTGACATTGCAAGTAAGATTTTTTTTTTTAAGATTTATTTATTTTACTTGGGAAGGCAGATTTACGGAGAAAAAGAGAAATCTTCCATCTGCTGGTTCACTTCCCAAATGGCTGCAACAGCCAGAGCTGAGCTGATCCGAGCCGCCAGTATCCCACGTGGGTGTAGGATCTCAAGGTGTGGGGCCGTCCTCCTCCTGTTTTCCCAGGCCATATGCTGGGAGCTGGATGGGAAGTGGAGCAGCCAGGACACAATTCAGTGCCCATCTGGGATACTGGTGCTTGCAGGTAAATTAGCCAATTTGCGGGTCCCACAGGTGCCTGGTTGGAGGCTGGAGTCTAGTGGCAGCCCGGAGGGACTTTTGAACTTGCCCCTGATCCACTGAGACCCAAGCACACTGCAGAAGGTCGAGTCTACTGACTCGCATGCAGTAGCATCCAACAAGCACCTTCGGCGAGACATCCCTTTGGTCTTGACTCAACAGCTGGGTAGCTTAGCCAGACCACTTGACCTAAAAAAGTCCCTCATGTCAGGGACGTGTGTCCCAAGTGCACCCTGCGGCAGGCCAGCCAGGGAGGCTGGCTCATGGGCAGGGCCAGCTGGGCTGCTGGAAGCCCAGCAGAGTCCACTGTGTTCCTCCCCACCCTGGGAGTGAGGGAACCCATCATCTGTTGATCCCGCCATGGACATCTGGAAGAGACATTGCGACGCCATGGTGGTGACTGTGCTTTCCAAACAAAATTCTGGCACATGAGCTGACAAGTAGGAATGCACTTATGAGGAGAGTAGGGCTATATGCTTGAACTGATGGCCCTGCTGGAAGATTCGGTGCTTGCACTCCTGGGGCATAGGGGCGTCTTCACCCCCAGGAGCTCTGCCCTCTCATGTCCTGGCTGTGACCCTGTGCAGCTCAGGGGCAAGTGCTGCCATCCCTTCTGGGGGCCTTGTGCAAGGTGCAGAACCCCATGCACTCTAGGACACTGACCTGTGGGGTGTCTTCAACTCCTTGCTGTCTGGCCGTGCCTGCCAAGGCAGCAGCTTGCCTACCCAGGCTTGTCTCAGGCATGCCATGCTTACTTAATCCAGCAGGAATGACATTTGTTTTACGTTCTTGTCCTCCTCAGAAGAGTAAAGAGTAATAGAATAATAATCATAGTAATTGACAAAGCATTCTAGCCTGTCTCGTACCACACAAAGGCGGCATCGCCACATGTTCCTGGCGTGCCTTTTGTATTCTTCAAGGAAGGCAGTTTTAGCATGTTTCCACGAGGAGACCTTCTAAGTACTGGAACATCCCCATGGAAATGGCTGGGTTCTGCATATGGAAGCCAGCTATTGCATCTACCATGTGATCTGGAGGGAGCCTGATGCAGGTCAGCCTGAGTCGTCAGCTAGGCCAGGCAGCTGATCTGGCTCTGGAGACAGGGCCCTTTGAGGCCAGGGGAGAGGTCGTCCTGACCATCAGGCCGCATGAAGAATCACAACTAGCTTGTCCCTG